TGCAAACAAAAACACTGGTGATAGGGTTATGATCATAGTTTACATTTAAAATTAAAAAGAAAGGTAAACAAAAATTTCCTTGAGTTATCGTAATATTTTTGCGTTTTAGTTTTGGTGGATGAGAGTAGATCTTGGTATTTTTATTGTTTACTCAATCAAAATACTAAGCAATGTTGGTTTATATACAGACTGCTCCAAAGGTGTTGGAGATCCTTGAAAAGGGTGGTTCGAGGGGTGATTTGAAACAACTTCTTCCTTAGCGAAAATGTTGTCCGAGGCTTCGTTAAGGAGATATTAATTGAAAAGTTCGAACAGTCAGAGCGCGAGTACGCGGCGCCCGTGGAGCGCCCGCAGTAGCTTAGGCACGTGCTAGACAGCCACAGTAGCACAGGCTACGCACTAGACAGCCGCAGTAGAATAAGGTACGCGATAGACAGCCGTGCTCTGCATAAATCAACATATTTATTCAAGCATACACTTGGAAACATCAAACCTGCCATTTAATTGAAACAAATTTCTTCAATAGAGGGTACGAATATTTCCGAAATTGACTGTACATATTTACATGTATTATTGTAAATAATTAAGAGTAGCGTCATTATTTTGTGTTTCTTCATTTTTGTAGGGATTCTAGATGAACATTAGCTGATATGGAAAACTAAATATATTTATATTTGAACGAATACCGAGGAATGATAAATGAAAATTGTGGTGAATGATAACGAATGAAAATAAAATTTCGATTGCGTCGGTCCTCCCGAAAACAATTCCCGAAAAGTGTCCAAATCAACAAGTGAATTCGTTACAGTTGTTCGTTTCTATCGCAACAAATAAAACCGATAAAATCGATGACGCAAACAAGGGAGCAATTTTTTTGATTTACAACGTCATTTCTGACATTTCAACAAACATCGTTTAATTGAGCGAAAGCAATTACTAAACGGAATTGAAATTTGATTCTCAATTCAGCCTGTATTGCTCAAATAAAAGTAATATCGAATTGTTTTTGAGAAAGAGCTGCGTGCATCGTGTGTCAGCCTGTGTACGGGCAGAATTTTATATGAAAACTGTACGGACGGGATCCTTTGTCGAGTAAAAAACTGCCCCATCGATACTGAGCCGGCTGATAGCGAATCGTAGCGCGACAAAAAATTAATCATATCGATCCAGATGCAATACAACCTTTCCATCGCCGTGAATTGAAACGGGCATCGGGAATCGACAGCTCGAAACGATTGCTCGAGAATTATTTGCGTCAGGAATATTCATGGACACAGCTCAGGAACTACTGGCTCGTAACTTGGCTACTGGATATTTTTTTCGATAAATTCACTTCCAACATCCGATCGTGCTGCGATTTAATACAGTATCGATTAAACGCACCGATATAATATGGCATCGAATAAATGCCCGTATGACGATATCGTTTATTTCGTATTTGTCGAGTCCGACGTGTTTAACGTTAAACTGAAATGGATTTTTCACGTTTACTGTAAAGTTTACAAAACAATGGGTCGACGTGTTCGTTCCTAAAAAGAACGGGGATGAAAGGTGAGGTACATGCGCGAATAGCTGATTGGGATTCAAACCGTGTGTTGGATGAATCGAAAAAATGTTTTCACAAAAGTTATTTGGCTCAAAGGGGCAAATTTAATGGAAAATAATTGGAGTTATTAATTTTGTTCCAAGTGCAGTTTTGGGTGAGACTTAACACTAAACTTACTAATGTTCATTTGCAGCTATTTCTATTATTAGTTTTAGCAGTGCCAATTTTTAGTTATTTCTATTACTAGTTTTAGTAGTGCCAATTACTAAAATTTGTTTATTAATATGTTCCATCAAAACATTTGATATTCGTTTCGAAAAATAGACAATACGTATTTTAAATTGTCAATGAAAACATCCACAACAGAATTACACTAAATACTAAACTTACTAATGTTCATTTGTAGTTATTTCTATTATTAGTTTTAGTAGTGCCAATTACTAAAATTTGTTTATTAATATGTTCCATCAAAACATTTGATATTCGTTTCGAAAAATAGACAATACGTATTTTAAATTGTCAATGAAAACATCTACAACAGAATTACTGCAACGCAATAAAAAATTAAGCTTTTTCAATCACTGAGATTGCAATAATTCTGAGCACCGCTCGAAATGCGAGGTGTATACAAGCGACGACAATCTCCCTTCCCACACACCTACTTTCACGTATGTTTGCCTTGTTCTTTCTTCCTCTATTCCCCGTGCCGCGGTTCTTCTCCCGCGGCAGGTTTCGTCACGTTCGAATAAATCGAATTAGAATTAAATCGAATTACGTTCCCGTCGTTGTCGCAACGTAACAAATAAATTTCCTACGCGACACCTAACCGAGTTTGCCGTTCGGCGTACTATTTAAAAGCTGCATCATCTTCCGCGGGCGGATATTTCGTGGAAAGGTGTCGTCCGTCGAGTGTACGCGATCCATTTTTCTTCCCTCGCGTCTCTATATTTAAAGAGTATAAATTGGATTTGCGCGGCACGGTCGCGAATGATATTAAAACGTCCAGACGGGGGTTTTCAAGATGTAATTTCTCGGCAAGCGTCAATGACTAGGAGAATTGTCCCTGCCCACCCCGGGCGGGGAAATACGTTTCATGAAGAGAAAAATTTACCTCTCCTCTGGGCTCGTATTTTCCGTCGCGTTCGCTTATAATCCCGCGTTTCAACTGGGAGTTGACAGTCACCGCGTTGACAACTTGGGATATTATTAAATGAAACAGGGAATTAAAGGAATATGTTTTTGATGGTTCGTTGGCAGGACTTACTTCAGGATACATTCTAGTGTAAACGACTCAAAAGGGTCTCCTTTGAGAATTAAAAAAAAAAAAAGAAAATTATACGTCGAAGAGTGATAAATGATTTTCGATTTATCAATACATATCTTGAAAGGTGAAGAAATATTTTATGAGACTCATTTTGTGTTGTAGGTTTTACTAAATGAAACAGGGAATTAAAAAGATATGCTTTTGATAATATTTGATAGGTAGAACTTAAAGATACAGTCTATTGTAAATATTTGAGAATGAAGCATTCTCGATTCAACAGACAAAATACGCAGAAAACTGGCAAATACAAAGACCACAGATAGCGCATTGGGTTTTATCTACAATATATCTACAATCATTCAAGATATAGATGCTGAATTGATAACCGTACGTACTGAAAAAAATATTGAATACCATCACATATTGGAATAACTGGTAATGAAACTGCAGACAAGGCTGCAAAAAATGCTTGCACCTCTGAAAAACCGTGCATTGAGCTGTCACACGCGCTAAATGAATTTAAAAACGTTATCAAAAAGGTTACCAAAGAAAGGTGGAACCAGCAATGGATCAATGTAAATACAACAAAACTCCATCGAATACGCAAATCAACAGAAGAAACTATCTCATTACCACCAACAAGGAAACTTCAAACCACATTATTAAGATTAAGAATCGGACTCACTAACCTGACACATCAATACTTAATTACAAAATCGGAACCACCAAAATGCAATCATTGCAACAGGGCCCTCATCGTACAACATCTAATTGAGGAATGCAATGAACTGGAGGAAGACAGAAGAAATTTACATATCCCAAAGACTCTAGATATAATACTGAACAATAAGATCGAGTTCTATAAATTTGCAGAAGCATTGGATGGACACAACTTACTGGTCGAAATATAAGTCTATTACGTAATCAACTAGTCGCTTTACCAAACTTGGTCGCTAATAACCTAGACGTTGATGCGACCTTAAACAAGCCATTAAAAAAAAAAAAAAATATGATTTTGTATGTAACAACACGTACCTTAGAATGTAAAGAAACATTTTATCAGTGACGTTATGTATTGTGTGTTAACTTAGAATCAGACAATTAAAAGGACATGCTTCTGACGTTTCATGAATGTATTCTTACTTTCTTGAATATAAAATTAGTGTATTTATTTTTATATTCAGTGTATAATACATTCTACGCATATATTTTATATTTGTACATTTACGTTGAGTACATTTATATTTACCTAAAATAAAGCAACACGTTTCCAATTCCATTAACTCGACGCCCGGTTAAATTCCGCGTTGACAAAGAAGTGTAAACGATAAATTTAACGAAAGGAGAAACATTTCTGGCGCAAAGAAGCGAGACGCGAGGAATGTACACAGCGCGCGGATGTTACAACCGCATCGCCAGATCTACGTCGAAATTACGTTGCATTTTCTCCAGCTTTCTCGGTGAAATTGTTTCGAACGCGGACGCGAGATTTCTGTCGGAGGCGTTCGTAAATTTTGCAACGTAAATAAGGGTCGATTTATTTTACCTTTGCGCTATAAACCGAGAGCGCTAGCGCTCTGGCTGCTTCAGAAATTGTTGCCCGAAAGCGAACACGTTTTGTTGCCAGCCGAAAACAATACGTTCGCCGAGAGGGCGTGAATTCGACTCTTGACGAAATTCCCGTCTGGGAGAATTATTTTATTTATATCTTTTCAATTTCGACGGGATCCATACGTGATCAGTGAACCCCGATCCGGACCAGAGCCGCAAATGACGAACAATTTTTATCGTATTTTTCCCAGAGCGTGGGCAATTTGGAAATTTGACGGATGAAATTTCATCCTTTTCCAGAGGAAAATATTTTTTAATCGACGGACATCGCTCCGCGGCTATCGCCAGTTACGAGAGCAAACAAATTAAAAAATGAACAAAAATTCCACGATGCCGTTTCATGATTTCGTAGTTCGCGAGAAAACAGGACTGAGAAACATCGATTTAATTACTTTGAAAGGGGTTTTCTAGAAGAACCTTTAGGATTGTTCTTTAATAACAACTGTTGTTAGTATATTTAATAAGATTTTAAAGAAAATTACATAGTATTTTTTACGACCTTGTATGTTTCTCAGATAGCTTGTCGAGGTAAAACGTTATCAAAATATTCGCTAAAAGGATACGACTATCCTTTTACAGATGGAAAAAGTGCTGAACGCGACGTCGTTCCCCACCATTGAAGGCGACGACGATAATTTGTACGTGCCATACGATCAGCGACCGGAAACGTACATCGTACCTGCGGTATTCATATTAATCCTGGTGGTGGGTGTAACTGGAAACGGAATTCTCGTGCTCACCTTACTGCGACACTCCAACATGAGAAACGTTCCGAACACTTACGTGCTCTCTCTGGCTTTGGGCGATCTTTTGGTAAGAAACAAATGCTACCATACACACTTCGTTGTCAACAAATTGAAAACATTTTTCACTCGAACCGTACAGCAGAAAGACAGCGAAAAAATCATCTTAATTTTTAAAAAAATAAATGCTGCATGCTGAATAATTTTTCGAAACATTATCCTAGTATAACAATTCTATTTAGTCTCTCAATAATACATTATTCCTAAACGTAGATGTTTGCAATGTTTACCTATTAATTCAACTCATTTTTACACACACTTCTTTGTCAACAAATTAAAAATATTTTCACTCGAACCGTGCAGCAGAAAGACAGTGAAAAAATCATCTTAATTTATCAAAAAATAAATGCTGCATGCCGAATAATTTTTCGAAACGTTATCCTAGTATAACAATTCTATTTAGTCTCTCAATAATACATTGTTCCTAAACGTAGATGTTTGCAATGTTTACCTATTAATTTAACTCACTTTCATCCTGAATAATTTTGTCTAAATAATATCGCAGTTTTACCAACGCCAAAGTGACGTCTACCCTCTTTTATCCACTTTATTCTACCAGCATTAATATTCTTTTCCCAGCGTCTTTATAACTTCGTCGCGTCACCGAATAGTTTCCAAGATAACATCGAGGGTGCGAAACTTCGGTGGTCTCGTCCCGCAAATTCGAGTTTCTCGACAAACCCCGGAAAGTTTGAGGAGAATCGCCGTCGGACTTCGCGCAGATGTTCCTCGTTAGTCATTTAGAAATGACTTGGCCGGCAATGAGAGTGTTAAACGATCCCTCGTCGCTGAACGCTTTGTAATTTTGTGATTATAGGGGAATAAAAGTGGCGACGGAGAACGGTTCTTTGTAAGAAATTTACGGACTTACCGGTCGGAAAATTTGCAAGAGTGCGCGTGTCCCTTCTGGATGAAAATGGATGTGCCGCGTGATTTATGCGGCTTGCTGGATGAGGCGGATAAATCTGTCGCAAACTATGCCGTGGTTGGACGATTTTTACATTCACCGTGCACTCCCGCAAAATGGAGATACCTGACTCGAGTCACGATCAAGTTTCAACATTGCGGGAATTGAATTGAATTCTTAATGGGAGCTTATTCGATTCTGTAACGCGTTCGATTCGCGGCATTAGCATCGACACTGGCGAGTTAATATGATTTACACCTTGACTCTCGTTTTGAAATTGCTCGACTATTAACGATGCCCTTGCCGCAATTTATCACGAATGCAGTGAAGGAGTAATTAAATTGATAAAGTTTTTTTACTTTTCCTCTATAAAATTTTGTGTAATAGGTTGGACGATCTTAGAAATTTACTGAATGAATTAACTTTAATTACCGTCTGAGTCTAATTTTCATGCATTAATGCTGGTGATCTGGAGCTAAACATATCAGATTTAATATTTTATAAATTCAGCATTGTTGTGTTGTATTATACTAACTCTATTTAGAAATATTTTGTTTAATTGTAGCAAGGCGAGATAAAAGAGTTTATCAACGTAATTGTCTCGTAAAAGTAAATACACCTGGGAATCGTTGCTTCCATTCTTAATTTGTTTGCTTATCTCTTTTTGCATTAACTCGACTGTTATTTAACGGCTAGTACGGTATTGCTTTTATTGTCGGGGCTCCAATTTACCAGAAATTGTCCACTTTATCATATTCTCTTTTAACTAATATTCGATTGGAAAATATGAAGGAATTAAAATGGGATATTAGATTACTTTCATTGTCTTTTAAAGTCCATAAAAGTAATAAAGTAATATCTGCCAATTACTAGACTCATTGTTAGCCGAAACGAGCAAATCCCTGTTATTTCGCGCGCGTACTACTATTGTTTCCTGTTAGAAAATAATATAAAAATTCAGGAACTGCGAAATTCGTTTGCTCTACCAGACAATATGTATTCTTTAACAAATCAACGTTTCAATAAACGTGATAACTTACAAAATACTAGTTGATTCTCCCATTCCTTCAATGTATCGTAATAATCGAAGGGACGCGTTTCTGTTAAAAAATGATCGAATACCGAACCCGTTGAACTTACAACCAATGAAATGATATCGTTTGGTACGCCGCCAGGAGTTTCGAGATTGCTTCCTTGGTCGATGGAATAACATCGACGGAATCCTTCCTTTCAAATAAATCACTGCTCCGGAGCTACATACACGTGATTTTCGTGGCATGCACGAACGAATGAATGACTGTCGATAGACGTTCCGTTACCAACATCGCCATACATCGTTCACAGATCCGAGCAAATGTCGCCGCGAATATCGTTCAATCGTTACTCCGTTCCGCCGCATTTCAATGCAATTTTTACCGCGTTTGAGCCTCAGCTGGATTCCCGCGGAATTACTAAACGGATGGAATTTACGATATCGTTTCGCGAGCCGGCCGCAACTTTCAAATTAAAATCGGAAACTCCGCAGACGCAACGCGAGTGCAAAAATAATCGCAGCAATAACAACTTGCAATAAAAACGTGTTGTTATTGTGCCCGAAATGGTTGCATTAATAAATATAATCTCGAGTACCTGGACTCCTGCATACAAATTGCAGTTTTCGTTTCCGTAGTGGTTAAATATTTCTATATATTTTAATATAGAGGGTAATATAATAGAATATTATGTAACACGTGTACCGGGCATGAATTTGTATGAAAATCCACGGTCTAGTTATGTTACATTGGAGATTTTTGGTTGAAGACTTAGAAGTTTGAAGAAATTAAAAATTTAAATTGTAGTGGCACGTAGCGAAATATTGTCACGAATGGTGCGCGATTTTCGCAATTTAGAAATTAGCAACACTGCCTAGCAGTGGTGGTGAAGACAGGAACTGTCACCACAATACAAACCCACAGTCTTTATTCTTTAGTACATTCATCGTTCTCAACACCAACAAATGTTCTTAATCATCTGAACATTTAAAATGCTGAAACAGTTTCCATATAGACACGTCGCATTTTGATTTTCCATCAGCGTTTGTGCATCCGATATTATTTTTCTGTTATTCGTCGCCGTTTGAACCCTCAGCTGGATACCGTGGAATTATCAGACGGATGAAATCCAACGCCGTCGTACCGCGGGGCCCGCCCACAATTTCGAAATTGCTCCCGTTGCGATAAAACTGAAAAATCCGCGACGCAATGTAAATGCAAGACACAGGCGGATCCGTCGTCGAGGAAATTCCGTGTTCACCCCTTCGTTTTCAGGTGATCGTGACGTGTGTGCCGTTCACGTCGATCCTCTACACGATCGAGTCATGGCCGTGGGGTCTGGCAGTTTGCAAATTATCGGAGTGCGCCAAGGATATTTCGATCGGCGTTTCAGTTTTCACTCTGACTGCGTTATCGGCCGAGAGGTAAGTTGTCAAACCCAGTTACCAGCTAGCAAACTGTTGTTTCAACGGCGAAGGGTGGCCGTAGTAACTTTGACGAAGTTCTGTCCCATTAATGGAGCAATCAGCTGCTTCTTCGTTCATCTGATCAGTAATCCTTGTAAAATTGCTGGCGATAAATAGCCAAGAAAGTCGATTCGCCGTGCAGTTGCGAAGAAATTACAGGTTCGCTGATGTAAGTCAGAATGAGATCCATCGTGCTCGAACTTATTGTGCGTTTAGATTTTATTATGAGAACGTCCACTGTGAAATTTGGATTGAAAATGTTAACTCTAGAGGAAGGCACAATTTTTTCTTTATACCAGGATTCAACAATACATGAATATTAGATTGCACAAAATATTTTACAAGCTAACATTACAATTTGTTGACAGAATCGTACATAAAAGTTAATATATGATAGGCTTTAATAAAAGTACCACTTTTAATAAGAGCTTTTGAAGTCCAAATATTTTAAAGAAATTATAGATCATAATTATTCTTACACAAAATATTTTACAAGCTGTCATTAAAATTTTCTAACAGAATAATATATAAAAATTGAAATAAGGAAGGCTTTAATAAAATTACCACTTTTAATAAGAGCTTTTGAAGTCCAAATATTTTAAAGAAATTATAGATCATAATTATTCTTACACAAAATATTTTACAAGCTGTCATTAAAATTTTCTTACAGAATAATATATAAAAATTGAAATAAGGAAGACTTTAATAAAATTACCACTTTTAATAAGAGTTTTTGAAGTTCAAATATTTTATAGAAATTATAGATCATAATAATTCTTACGTCTGTAATCTCAGTATGTATATTAAAATTTTCCAACAGAAAAAGAACACGTTTCTGTGTGTTGCGCTCTAGGTACTGCGCCATCGTGAATCCCATTCGTCGCCACGTCGCAGGATTGAGCGCGAAACCGCTAACGATACTTACAGCTTCCCTCATTTGGGTCCTGGCGATTGTCCTGGCGATGCCAGCTGCTCTTTTCTCTCACGTGCCCACTGTGGAGTTGCAGGCTAACCACAGCATCCTGATTTGCAGTCCCTTCCCCGAAGAATTCGGTGAGCGTCAACGTCCAATCTTTTCCACGAAGTGTAAGAAAACATACAGACTCTCAAACTGACCTCTACACTTTCAGCTTTCATTTCTCCTGCACATCCAAGGCTTATTCTTTCACGCGAGATAGCAGTTTTTAAACCTTCTATATCACTTTTTCATAGGCACCAACGGAGATGGCACTTCCGCTATAAGTCTCAATAATGCGTCGTTTTGCGCCATGTTTCTTTTAATTAAAAAAGAACAGCGTGCTGTGGCAACGGGGTACTTTATCAGACTGTATCTTTCATAATACGTTAAATTCAATATGCAGTAGCTAATTCTAATTCAATTAAAAATAACAAGCATTAATAATGAAATAAATACGGCAAATAAATGAAAACTTTTTAAGACCTAATAAAAACAGGATTATGTCATCAGAGATGGGCAGACGGATTAGAAGAAGGTGAAACTTTCCTTTCTTTCGTTAGGATACTTTCAGAAGTAGTAAATTTCTTGCGTACATTTTCTCTCGCTAATAAAATTGCGAGAATCAGGTGCGTTCGTTGGATTTAAGAGCTAAAAAGTTGTACAATAAGTAATGTTTATAGTTCAACTTTCCAGCTCCTCGCCAGAAATAATTAAGTTATCAGAATAAGCCTGAAGAATGTTTACAATGAGTTACGATATATTAGGTGAACCGGAAAATACTGTCGTTTTTGCAATTTTAAATACTTGTTTATCGTTCATCAGCTCATTGATTTTTATCGATCTGGCATTGGCAATTTGCACACTAGATGACAAAAGGCTACTGATAACGGGAACGATTATACAATTAATAATTAAAAATAGAAATTTATAAAAAATTTGTTTGAATCTAATGTAAAAGAAACGACATTACTTTCCAGTCCACCTGATATTTACGTATCTCACAAGATACATAATTGCGGAGAATTTATCGTCTAAGTATCTGCTAAATGATCTTACAACGAACAACCAGTGTAGATCGAAAGCGAAACATCCCTAAACAAAACTTCCCTTAACTTTAATTGCGTGTCATATGCACGGAGTCTGATATGTCATACGGACCTCCTGTTACGCCACCCCCGTGTTTACAGGCGAAAGCTATCAAAGAGGGATGGTGCTGTTCAAGTTCCTGGCATACTACGCGATACCCCTCTGCGTGATAGCTGGATTCTATCTGGGAATGGCGCGACACCTTGAACTTTCCACGAGAAACATGCCTGGAGAGTTGTCTACTGGAGGCCATCGTATGGAACAAATTAGAGCACGAAGAAAGGTACGCGCAATAAATAAACCATTCCATGTAACCAATTCTCGCTGGACGAAACAATGAAAAATTCATCGCCAAATTTTGTTCATTAACGAAGGGAAATGCATGTATACATACAAATGTGTACAATCAATTTTCATACATTTCACACCGAATAATTTCTGTAACATTCATGTATATGCAGGGTGTTCATATATTCGTAATGCAATAGTTGAAAGAATTTTTTTTAATAACGAAGAAAGAGGTTTATGTATGTACAATAAATATCTATACATTTTTCACTGTTTAATTTCTGTAACTTTCGTGTATATTGCAATGCATTATGTATATCATGTATATTTCGTGTACATGCAGGCTGTTTATGTATTTCCAATGGAATAGTTGAAAGAATTTTCTGTAATAACGAAGAAAGATATTTATATATAAGTATGTATAATAAATATCTATACATTCTTCACATTATAATTTCTCTAACCTTCACGGAATAGTTGAAACAATTATTTTAATAACGAAGAAACATGTTTATATATAAATATGTATAACATATTCTTAACTTTTGCAACTTCCATGTATATACAGTGTTCATACATCTGCAGCGCAATAGTTGAAAAACTCAAGCCACATGTGACCGAATACTACTCAAACACAAACTGGAAGACGCTTTGGGTGCAAACTATCGAATCTTTAATAATCCTTCCCTATACAGGGTGTCCCAAAAGTCGGGGAGGAGCCGGAAATGAGGGGTAGCTGAGACGATTCTGAATAACAATTTCCTTTGCAAAAATGTCGGATGGGACTTCGTTAAGGAGATATTGAGCGAAAACCCTGACCAATCAGAGCGCGCGTAGACCGTTGGAGCGGCCGCGGTAGCGAAGGCTACGCGCTGGCGGCCGCGCTTGTACGTGAACAAGTGACTCGACGTGCATCGAAGGACATTGACGCTGTCGCCTAGTGCGTAGCCTTATTGGTCGGGGTTTTCTCTTAATATCTCCTTAACGAAGCCCCATCCGACATTTTTGCAAAGGAAATTCTTGTTCAGAATCGTCTCAGCTACCTCCCATTTCCGGCTCCTTCCCGACTTTTGGGACACCCTGTATATGCAGTTCCATTAACCGGAAAATTAAGCGTTCCTAGGTCCACTGTGCTCTAGGGGCACCGCTCCGCCCCATATGTGTCCAAGCAACATCCTTTACAAGTAATTTGGTTCACCATCGAGTTTCCATTGCACGTGCCAGAACAAATGTACACGCGCTGACCGCACGGAACAGATAATTACGTTTCGAGTGCGACTGAAATTGCTCGACGCGATTGCTGCGAACTGTTACCAGTTACGTAATCTCCGAACGATCGGCAACAGCTCGCGCGATTACATTAAACAGACACTTGTTTAGGAACCGTGGAGACTGCAGTTATCGCGCCTCGAGAACAGCGCAATTCCGCGAGACTCGCTAATTATAAATTGCCCCGCCAACGCGAGAAGCAATATCGCTTCGGAGAACCTGAAGCAAGCTTCCCAGCGTTCTGTTCGAATGAAAAGCGGCATCCGATCGCTTCCTGTTACAGCGACGCGCCGGAAGTTTCAGACACCGAACGAACTCTTGAAAGTTATGGCGTTCACTTTGCGCATTCACGCTGCGTGTAACGAATTTGTAAACCGTTAATGTTGAAACGCTACACTGTTGACAATTTTATTGGTGAATTCGACACGAATCGCGTATCCTAAACGGTGAATCGATATTTTTGTGTCTTTATGTTTAATTGATCGACACGCAGCTTGGTGAATGTACAATCCTTTAACAATTTTTCGGGGGTCTTGGGGGCAAACTTGTGGTGTTCCTAGCTTCCAGCACAATTTTTCTCCTAGCTTTCAGGACATTTTTTTTCCAAGTTTCCATTACATTTTTTCTCGTAGCTTCCGTCACAATTTTTCTCCTAGCTTCCAGCACACTTTTTCTCCTAATTTCCATTACATTTTTTCTCCTACCTTCCACACTTTTTCTTCTACCTTTCAGGATAAATTTCACGAGTCTCCGGACTTCGATAAAACATCACATGGAACTTCCTTTTATCTTAATGTATCCAAATATCCTCAATAGAAAATTGCAATGGCTTTAATATTGTCCTGTTATCACCGCCGTTACTGTACATCATACAGGCAACTTTTCATACAACTCCAACGCTCCGCTTTTGAATGATCCAATATGGAAAGGCATCAGAGCGTGACAACGATGATACGACGAAAGTTTCCTCTGTGGTTCTTACGTTCGCCTCTTCCGCTTTAACTCCCGCTTGCTGGACCCACTCATCCGTTCCCTGATTCGTTTATTCCGATAACAGTGAGTAGAACTTCCATAGCGCCTAAGAGTTCCAAGGCTTACACCAATAACCTCTTAGGTTCGAGGAATGCGAACAAGTTTATCCTTTTCCCAGCGCTATCCAACCGGCGAGCACCGTGATTGTAATAAATAGTCCTCCGCAAAGTGTCTCCCGAAAGGGAGTTTTCCGATTTTGTTTTTTAACCATTTATAGGGCAGAAGTCCCTCGGCAGAAATCACTCTTTTTTTTGATGGATGAGCGTAGAAACTTAAAAACACCAAAGTCCCTTCCTTTCCCTTAGTGATAACAATGAGTACCAGTGTCAACCTATAAAGGGTTTATCAAATGGTACAATTGGTACAAATGGTGCAATTAATTATTCAAGCTTTTGTGAACGTGACTTTTATCTCTTCACTGAATGAGAGAAACATCTGTGGTTCCACCGACAAAAGAATATCTGCTAAATGGCCGTGCCAAATTTCAAATTTATCGGAATAATAATTTTCGAGATATTTCCTCCAACGCGGCGAAAATATATAGTTCGGAGAGGAACGAGTTTGAAGGTTTTATCAAAGCAGTGGTCGCGCCTCGGCGTGGCTGAAATAAAGTGTCAATACCTTACAAAGGTTTTAGGAGCATTGCTTGGAAAATTATCGACGTAACAAACAAAGAAGAACTCGTGCAAAAATATTCTTTTGACAGTCTTATCAGTAATTTTTTATCTCTTTCTGAAACCTATTGCCTCTTAACTAAAGGCTGAGTAAAGAAAAAGGAGGAACGTACAATCGCAAAGGAAATTTTGTTGGTGAAATTTAAAATAATTAAAAAAAGGAACATATGGAATCTTTTTCCCTGGTGCAATTACTCTAATGGAATACTCTTCATCGTGCACAGAAATAATGCCAGCGAACTTTTCCGCTAATAACTCTCGCAATCCTACATCTGAAGCATAGGAACCGCTGATGACAACGTGGAATACAGAAAGCAATTGGTCTCGTTTTTATATAAACTTTGCAACTATTTAATTAAGAGTTATTAATGCTGAAAGCATCCAGAGGGAGCCTTTGTAACTGTCCAGATCTGAAAAGTCGAACCTTTCGAACACTGTATTAACCTCGTTAGCTTTGACATACACAGATATAAATATTATAATATTGCATTAGTTAACTAATTGATGCACTAAATGAATATTACAGCTGCGATAGCAATAAATAATTAATTCACTCCAAATGCGTCTGTTCAGCGTTCAAATTGCATTGTGTTAATTATACCCCCCGAACCGCCCTTTTATACAATATTTATGACGTATAATAATTACACAATAGAAGACATACATAAAATATATTCTATAATATGATAACACTGTTGTTTCACTTTGCATAAGTACACATGCCTTTTGATTACCCATGTTTAACATGCATTCATTATATTAGTATAACCACCCTTTTCAAGGACCTCCATTTTTGAGACACCCTGTATACAATATTTATGACGTGTAATAATTACACAATAGAAGACATACATAAAATATATTCTATAATATGATAACACTGTTATTTCACTTTGCATAAGTGCACATGCCTTTTGATTACCCATGTTTAACATGCATCCATTATATTAGTATACATCACAAATGCATAAAATTCGCAGTTTAGTAATAAGCAAGTGTTCGACTTTCGTTTAGCTTCGAGATTCGTTAACGTAAATATTCAAGAGTTACCACGACTTGATTTCCATCAGTGAAATCTCAGGAATTGTCTTCCATAGGAGCGAGTTATAACTCTCGTTGTTGTTTTGATGATAATAAGCAACACCCCGAGAAGTTAATCCTTAATTAAATTTTCATATACGGGATGAAAGGCTTCTGCGACACGAGGACCTAAAGCTGGTTCATGACGGTACTCTGTATCCTTGTCACTCGCTCCAGCTTTTCTCCACTCCTACCGCCTAGAAGCTCTTGGACGATAATTCTCTTGACTTGGCTATTTATTAACCGAGCATTTATATAAATAAGTTAACGGATCGCTGCTCGAAGGATAATTAAAAGAACAGCTCTGCACATATTTCGAACAGTGTATTATTTCAGTGGAATAATAAATTTGTAAATTAATACGTTAATAAATTAATAAATTATTATATCAATACTACGTTCGATGTTTCCAAATTCCGAATGGTTTCATTATAAATATGTTCACGAATAAACTTTACATGTGCACATATTTATAATTAGACTGCGGATCTTTATGCAAAATATAAAATCTTCGCGAACGTGCCTACAAAAATCAAACCTAAATAGAAATTCATTTTATTCTGCAAATATTATAACATGAACTTTACTTTCAATCTCTTTTATATTCTTGCATATTGTTTGCATTTTATAGGTTCTTGTACGTTTATTATAAAATATATTTATTTGGATAAAACAGACCTACGATTTAATCGAGACAAATTGCTTCGATAAACATGGAGGATCTGAATTTAATTGAATTTAATGAAATCCTTTCACTGATTTACTTCAAAGGTCTCTCCTCTAAAAGAGATGCTAAAAGAAATTTGTTGAAAGTTCTACGTTAGAATATCCCGTTATTTAAATGATGAGAGCATCCCTGGATCACAAACTTGGGTTAGGTCTGAGTTAGGTCTGGATGGCAGCCAACGCGTTAATATGTATCGTTGGGTTTGATCGATAGGTTGGAAAGATGGTGATCGCCTTCGTGATCATCTTCGTAATTTGTTTCCTGCCGTATCACACGTTCATGCTGTGGTTCCACTTCTGCCCGTCGTCCAAGGAGGATTTCGACGACTTCTGGCACGCATTCAGGATCCTCGGCTTCTGTCTGAGCTTCGTCAACAGCTGCGTCAATCCGATAGCCCTGTACTTTGTCAGCGGGACCTTCCGCAAAAGGCGAGTGTCATACTAAACGAGTCATACCTCACAAGAAGTAATCAACCCATAACACTCGACCTATTTCGATTTCAACTGACCACTTCAACTTTGCGATAAACGATACGAAAATTTTGCAACTTTAACCCTTTCAGTCCTAAATTATTTCTTCTTTCTCGTATCATGGAAAACAAATTTTTAAAATCCCAATAGGGTAGTTTTCGAGGAAAACTGATCTCTCTTCATGTGCACGAATAAGGACATTTTTAATTTACAACGCTATTAATTAACAACGCCAGGTCTGAAAGGGTAAACACGGAAGGATACAGATTTCCTCGTGAATTTTTTAAATTTCAATCGAAACGCAATGGCGATCCTTCAATATCATATCCCGCAACGGAACAATGGGTAAAATTGTATAGTTTGGTGGGAGAGGAAGCCATGACAGAGGAGGCAATTGCATTTGTTGAAGAAATTGTCTTGGGGTGACAAATGCTCTGTGGTCAAGGAGATTGCTCTGTAAATTGATCTGTCTGAACCATAGTTTCTCAACCTTTTTTGGCGCATCGCCCTCTTTTCAAAACTTTCCTTCTTTCACTGTTCTCGAGTAAACCATATCGCGTAAGAAGCCGCTCATTAATTACATTAAGGATAGTTTCAGCTCCTTTTGATCCTTCTCCAACCCCATGAAACCAAAACGAAGATTTCACGGACCCTCTCTCCCGATTCTTCTATCAAATTTTACCTAGTGTTCCTAATGGCATTAAATATGTCGTTAGAAAAGGTTCAATTACATTAAAACAACATTATAATTACACATAAATTTTTCAACCTCCTCCTTCTCGAAACTTTTACGTAATTAACCCTTTCAGACCTGTATTGTACCCATTCAGATCGAAGTATTGTTCGTCACGAATTATTTCGGATTAAATTTTAATTGTTCCAGTCAATAGATATTAAAATATAGAAAAGTATCTCACGACAAGCTGTGTAACGGGACATATTTATTCTGTTACTACCCATTGCCTCACAACATTTTTCATCGTGTAACGGGACATGAATTTCGCCTATTCGAAAATAAGAAGATTTTCAATCCCAAAAATAAATATAAAATCCTAATACTGCAATTTACACAGAAAACAGATTTTTCATCATTTGTACAAACAAAAACGTTCAACGATGACATCCCTTTTCGTTTCGCGATTCAATGAAAAAAAATTGTTGGGAAACCACGATTTCGGTTGTTAATTAAAAAATAGAATTCCCATCGCAGATTCAACGAGTACCTGTGCTGTCGCCTGTCGAAGAGGTCCTTGAGCGTTTGTCGAACGGAAACGACGGGTAGTTTAGAGAGGAACGGTAATCGTTTGACTCAAAGAAGACGGATCGGAGGACATGGTGGCCATTACGAAACCAGTTTCGGATCTACGTTTCGAAGGCACACTCAGGAACTGAACTCAACCGCTGTTTTCGAGCTGGGGAGCGAGGAGAGGCCTACCTGAGACTTAGGTTGTAAGTAATTTTCAATGACGATCAACGGAAGCACCACGATGCGTTCGCGAACGCGTGTGCAGACAAAATCGAGAATCGAGGACCACTGGTAGGGAGAAGAAAGTTAAGTAAATGTTTTAATAACAACGCACACTGCCGCTGGAATGTTTGATGCCCCTCTTTCGATTTTCAAAGTCGCTTTATTTTATTTATTTATTTATTCACTGCATGGATTCGTATTGAAAGGATAGTGCAAAATGCGAAACCAACCTGTCCAGACGAGAATAGATTTAAGAATACGCTTCCAACTTTAAGCAAACTAAAAGTGATCGATAATACGCGACGATTATACAAATCATGAAAAATGACGAATCCGAAGCAGCGGGTGTCTGTTACGAATTGTAAGGGTATCGTCGTCGCTTAGTTAATTGTAAAAGAGGAACATTTTTGTAATTAACGAAAGGAAACCAATAAATAATTGAACGTTTCAACAATAATTACATTACACCTTGTAAGGTACGTTTTCTCTAAAAAGTAAGTTGTCGCTTAACTGATTGTTAAAGAGAAACATTTTTGTAATTGACGAAAGGAAACCAATAAATAATTGAACGTTTTAACAATAATTACATTACGTCGAAATCGTTCTTTTCGTGGTCGGCTAAGTTTATTCTAAATCTAAATTTTTTTATTATTTCTATATTTTCTACATAATTAACAATCTATTTGTTTCTATTTCTTCTAATCTAGGCATGGGAACAATATCGATTTATTTTTTCGTGCTTGATAGAATAAAATATTTCAAAAAATCCTCATTGTTAATATTTTTAAAAGTGCTTTTAAGAAATCCAAGCACGTTAAATTAAACGTCGTTCCCGTTTCGTTTTACGCAAGAATTTATCGCTGTTACGAACTTTTTGCACGCTTTAATCTGTTTCATAGGATGACCCCCTGTAGACCAATCTCCAGACATATTTCTCGGGAAGAGTTCAAAACGTCGCGCTTTTTCTAGATAGAATCCCAGCTATGCATCACGGCTGAGGCGGTATCACGTACCAAGCCAAGAACGCGAACATCCACCTCTGATAACTGAAAATAATGTGGCTAGTCTTTTACTTTTTGCCATTATGTAATAGTTATTAATATTCATTTTTGCTTCATTATCCTGTGCTATTCGATTACATTTTATTTGTACACTCTGCTATTCGTGTAAAGGGTGAGATATTTAAGGGGTTGCACCAACAATGGGGGGTAGGAAACAATCAAACTTTCTTCTAAATCTAAATTTTGTTCTTATTTCTGTATTTTCTATAGCATTAATGATATATCTATTTCTATTTCTTTTGATATAAATTTTTATCGGTATTCGATGTTACTTTAATTTTATTCTACTTTTGATTTTAATCTCTGATGGAAACAGACACGAATGAACCTTAGGTATGAGGACAGTATCAATTTGTTTCCGTCGTGCTTGATGCAAGTGAATAAAATATTTTTACAAATTTCTTTCAATCTAAATTTGTATTGGTATTCGATGTTACTTTAATTTTATTCTACTTTTGATTTTAATCTCTGATGGAAACAGACACGAATGAACCTTAGGTATGAGGACAGTATCAATTTGTTTCCTTCATGATTGATGCAAGTGAATAAAATATTTGTAAAAATACTTATTGTTAATATTTCTACTGTTTTGAGTCCATTACCAGACCCAGGAGGAAACCAAGTTTTTTCCTTTTACCTCTATCGCTTCCTCCCTCTTCCAGTACCCTTTTCAGATCATCACATTAGCACCATTAATAGTTTCCTAATTAAAAGCTTGTAGGTGCAAGTATAAACCAAGTACAAAGCAAGTACAAAAGTATCAACCTTCTCCATATAATTTGAATATCAAATTCAAGCAAGACTGCTCACAAGATTGGTAAGGGAGAAGACGACCTTCTCGATCGTTTTAGTAATAATGGAGTGAAAAGGTTACACATAACGCTCAACACGTATCGATTTACTCGATACGTTTCCGCAGCTACATGGCCTAATTACAGCTATAATAGGGGTATCGAGAAGACGTCCAGGACGTTATCTGAACGCGAACGTCGGAAACGCGATGGCCAATGGACGGGAGATACTAAATGCTGTTGTTGGGAAGGATCGGTGGACGGTGGACGCATGTCAAACAGGAATTTCCGATTACTGGCGAAGGTCGTCGGACAGAACACGATTAATACACAGTGACTTCTATTCGTCTCCTCTTTAATTAAATCTCCCGTCGCGGTTCAATAACGCCTTGATCCTCTTCTGTACACTGTTTGCCATCAACCCTTATTTCGTTCAAAATAAGGGTCGTAAAATAAATTTATTACCACTTACTACTATCCAAATCAATTTCTGCAACGTACCCTTCAAACGTCACGGAAAATTCATCTGAATCACTTACGGTCATCTTGGTGACGGAAGAGAAAAGAACGGCAGTTATAATAAACCATAACTACAGTCAATCTTATAAATATTCGTGCTGGAATGTGTATTGAAGAAGTTTGATTAAATTAAGTAGTAGTTTCGATTTTACCAAATGAATTTTTCATTATTAATATTATATTACATCCGTTTGAAAATACGCAAGAATATGTTGAAAGTTTGCATGATAAAGAAATACAAGTTCGATAGTGTCACACTGGGATAAAATAAAATGTTGTATACACTGATTTCCTATAATATCACATTGCAATAAATCCAAATTTTAAAATATAACACTCGTTGCAAACACTTTTCATCCCCTCAGGGGTTGAATTTTAAAATATCCTTTCTTATTCCTTGTATACATCACAAAGGAAACCTAAGTGCAAAATTTCAGCTTTTTAGACTTTCAAGGTTTTAGCCTGGGTGTTATTTACACATATATTTGGAAACATCAAACCTACCATGAAACCCTTTATTTGATCAGAACTCCCCAGGCATTTTGTTCACTTTTTCTTGCCATGATCCATTTACTTACACCAGAAACTTAAAAATACAAACTTCCTTCCTTAACAATGAGCACTAGTGATCTATAAAGGATTAATTTTGTAGGACTTTACATTACCGATGGAAATAATACTACACGTGCGGCGCGATGTGCGAATAAACAATAGGCAGGCGAATACGTGGCGTCCGAGAGAACGAGATGTAATAGAACGCAGTTGAATAATGTTCTATGACATATACTCTTAACCTTACAATATATTCTAATAATACTTATAACACATAAAGAAGGAGTAATGCTCATTCATTGAACAGCATCATATACCTATCCCGATCCACAACAAATTTAAACAAATTTCTTCAATATACAGTGTACGAATATTCACGCAACCGAATGTTTCGTCATTCTCTATAAGGTTTTCCAAAAATCCTCCCACAATTCAACCGCGACCTAACTCTTCGGTTAACACGCTTCCACAGCTACTATCACGGCAGCTAGTAACGTATTCAGTCGGAGTTTGAAGCGAGGGGCGCGTGGCAGCCGTTTTTATCGGGCATGGGGCACGCGCCGAGCAAACAGGGGTTCCGAGAACAATGTTCCCTGCATCTGCAGGGGAGGCTAACGCGAGGGGCACAGTTCCATGGGGTCTCGAGGGGCCAGGAGGGGAGGAGAAGCCATGGCAAACCGTCACCCTCGCACCAGTCTCCAAGGGTCGTCACGATTTGGCTAGTCGCCGCCGATCGACGCCAGTCAACGGTCGTTTCATCGACTCCGTCCACGAGTTAGGGAAAGATTTTTCGAGCGAAACAAAGAAGGTATATAACGCAACAACTGAAAGGCCATTAGACTGCGAGTGCTTTCGATCGGAGAAGACGGAGGAAATTCGAGAACCCGTGCGTCGAGGAGGGTGCAGAGATACGACCAGAGATGGACAACGTTTTATATCGATGATGGACGAGGAATAAAAGTAACAGCGAATCAACCGTGGCGATTATACTCGGGAGAGTGTTCGAC